GATATTTGCAAAGCAATCTGCTATTAAAAGGTGAATTTAAGACTGATGTGGAGGAGCAATAACATTTCATCATAGCTAAATGTAAAATTATTCCACCTTCACGCATTAGCAAAAATGCTCTCAGAAGCAGTACCTATACCACAAACAAGGCCCCGACCAATGACATCCTGTCTGCAGAAACCTTTATGGCAATGGTTAGAACAATGTACATTGTACAAAAGAAGGGGTCTTTGAGAAAATACCTCATGGAGAACTTATAACATGGTGCTCACCACTAGTATTTCAACTCGAACCCAGATTTTGAAAGACATCTAATAACGAACTAAAACCAAATATGATAAGAGCTAGTTTGATTTAAGAATAGTAAACAGTTCATCTACAAAATCTTTTGAAGTGTCTCAATCAATGCGACAACATTACTTGGATGACATAAAATAGAATTGCATAAACAAAACATTCAGTAACATTTAGTATCCTTCAGAGTCCAGAAGATGTTGCAATCACCTTTTCAATTTGGAGTCAATGTCAATTTGGAGTTGAGGAATTTAGAATTCTATGGATACATATTTTCTAAAGATTTGTTGAAGCCAGCATCGTAAAGGATATCACAGAAAGCACTATTAAAGGAACTGACACACAAATACATCCGACTCAAATGCAGCTTTTGAGAGAATCAAAGAATCATCACAAGTTAATTTACACTGCTTTAGTTAAGATGGTGTACTTAGGCAAGAATTGAATGATAGAAGCAACACTGCAACGGAAAACCGTGAAAATCTTGGTACAAGTAACTGGTGGAAAAAGCAGTATCAAATGATATTGCCTGGATCGAAGCTTAACCCGTCTATAACAAGGTCTGTGTGGTTGTCTGGCGTTGCTACATCCACAAGCATTCAAAGCCATTTAAGTCAAGGTCGTAGGAAGCAAAAATTGGTCCGACCGTACGCCTCTGGCCTCACCCAAAAGCTGCCCACTGTTAACATACACTTTGTAGTCATTTTGATTGAACCTGTCTTCAATGCATGTTACCATCAGGTCAAGGACTTCAAAGTAGATTTGGCGGTAATAGGCTTCAGGAGAAGTATGGTATCTGGTTCAGCTGTGCCAACCTGAAACCTGACTGGAACCTTTCTACAAAGAGGGAGACTAGGTTAATTAGCCTCATGTGACAGGGCTTTGGTTAATGTTGAATCCCAGAACATTTTGGATTGTTCATCTGTGCGCATGTTTTGAAGCGTTGTAACAGTCATGGCTGCCACTACTTGTCCCTCAGCTGCTGAGCAGACATAACCTCATGTTGGAGTGTTGCACTCAATGTGTCTGCATGTTTCAACATACAATGACAAAGACAAAGACCAAAGTAAAAGTCGAAACGTTTCATGTGAGAATCAACTCCACGTAGCATGGCTTTCATGTCAGTGTCTGAACAGTGTTCTAGAGACCGCTCCCGCAGATCCATCAGAACATCATAGTATGCTGTTCATGGCCTCAGCACGAACAGTCCATCTAGTTGGACATAACAGCCAAATACCATGCTTGCCAGTTGTTGTGTCATCTTCTTTCATTTGTTTCTGCACCATCTCCAGCTGTGAATCACGCTTAGGTGATTTTTCTCAAGTTTTGTAATCTCATATGTGGTGTCAAGTGCATCACTGATTATCTTACATTTCTTAATGTTGTCTGTCTGTCTTTCTAGCTACCCCTTTGTTTGCACCTCTCATAGTCGAGCAGCCATCATAACATTGTCATAACATTGTAACATGTTCATTCTCAACAGCACATCTTTGATGACTTTCGTTTATCATCTCTGCATCTGTCCGATCCACCACATGTAAGCCAATAAACTCTTCATGGGCTTCAAGACTCTCATCTACCCATCGAATACAGATGACCACTTGCCATTATGGTGAAAAATGTGGAGCTGCGAATACATGAGGAAACTCCCATTAGCACCTTCAGGGCTATGACCTTCAGCATTTCATTCTGAATTGTAGCACTTGTGTACTTGTTGATATTCTTTTTCACCCATTCTGTTAAATCTGCATCATCCTCGCCTCTCAGGTGAAGCAGCTGAATAACGTTAGAATTTTCCCTTTTGAGATGAATGTAGGTTCTAGTGTTGGTGATGCAAGTTGGTTTAACTGATATGCCTTGGTACATGGGAAGCAAAACACTTTGTCTCCCCCTTCTACATAGTGGAGCCATGACCAGTTGTGAAACCAAGATGAATTGGAACTTGCGTTTCACAATAGTGGTTTTTCGAAACTGACGGAGGGAAAAATCAAATAATGATGGTTGGTGTGGTGAATCACCTACATCTGGCATAGTCAGCTTACTTCGTTTAGAAGCCTGGAAACATAAGGTCATGGTAAATTAATTCTATATATTTCTAGTTCTAGTTCAAGGAAACATGAATACAATTTAAGGCGAAAACTATAGATGTAGAAGCCTAGAAAAATTCAGTATGGAAGAATTAGTAATCTGCTAAAACAGACAAATATGTGTTTCTTTTAAAGGGAGAGAAAGATAATTTAAGGTATAAACCTAGATTTACTTCAAAATAGTTCAGATCTAATCCTAATCACACTGATGCCGAGCTTAGAATAAGTAGGCCTATAACATGGCCTAAATATTCAGATACATAAAGGTAGCCCAGCCCTATAAAAGTAAGTGATCGGATCAATACCCTGGGTTTTGACAGGAAAAATAATATATATTATCTTTGTCAGCATTTTTTTAAATATATTATTTATGGACCAGATTATTATTAAAATAATGATTATTTGAACTGAAACATGTTTCTATTTTTAAATAATCTATATAAATATATCTATGTTACCTACAACGTCATGCATGTATGTGCATATTTTACCTGACAGTAAGTTATGTGGTAGAAACAAAAAGGGTTTGTATTATAATTTTTATTAAATATATAATTTGTAAGTTGGTTAATAAAGGATTTACTTTAATATAATTTATTAAAACATTTTGCACAATTTGTTTAGGTCTAGTGCATCTGCCCCTGGCCCAGTTGTAGTAGGTCTAGTGCAATTGCCCCTGGCCCAGTTGTAGTAGGTCTAGTGCATCTGCCCCTGGCCCAGTTGTAGTAGGTCTAGTACATCTGCCCCTGGCCCAGTTGTAGTAGGTCTAGTGCATCTGCCCCTGGCCCAGTTGTAGTAGGTCTAGTGCATCTGCCCCTGGCCCAGTTGTAGTAGGTCTAGTGCAATTGCCCCTGGCCCAGTTGTAGTAGGTCTAGTGCATCTGCCCCTGGCCCAGTTGTAGTAGGTCTAGTGCATCTGCCCCTGGCCCAGTTGTAGTAGGGCTAGTGCATCTGCCCCTGGCCCAGTTGTAGTAGGTCTAGTGCATCTGCCCCTGGCCCAGTTGTAGTAGGTTAGTGCATCTGCCCCTGGCCCAGTTGTAGTAGGTCTACTGCATCTGCCCCTGGCCCAGTTGTAGTAGGTCTACTGCATCTGCCCCTGGCCCAGTTGTAGTAGGTCTACTGCATCTGCCCCTGGCCCAGTTGTAGTAGGTCTAGTGCATCTGCCCCTGGCCCAGTTGTAGTAGGTCTAGTGCATCTGCCCCTGGCCCAGTTGTAGTAGGTCTAGTGCATCTGCCCCTGGCCCAGTTGTAGTAGGTCTAGTGCATCTGCCCCTGGCCCAGTTGTAGTAGGTCTAGTGCATCTGCCCCTGGCCCAGTTGTAGTAGGTCTAGTGCATCTGCCCCTGGCCCAGTTGTAGTAGGTCTAGCCTAATTCAAGAAATTACCCGCATAACATACATGTAGGCATCCCGGTATATAATGTTATTAAAATTATGTTACTTTTGCCCCCCCCCCCCCAAAAAAAAAACACACGTTGGAACTTATCAACAATATTGTCACACAGCGACAGTCAGGAGTATGTAATTAATAGTCTACATAAAACAAATGTATGCAACCTATTCTTGGCGCTTATATTAGAGTGACTTCTGAGACTTGTAGATAAACCCAGATAATAAATGTATTAAGTCTGTTATTTTCATAAACCTGTAGCCTACTAGGATGAAACTCAAGTAACAGTTTAAATTTATGGTGTATTTGGGGTCAAATGTTGGTGTTGACAAATTAATGGCCTTTTCTGAGTAGTTTTTATACGGTCCCCTAGAAATAGTTTTTCCACGCTGTATACGATAAACCAGGCCTGACAATAAACTAATTGAAGTATGCCTAGAAGTTAGGCTGTTATTATTTGACAAGTATATAGGCATATTAGCCAGCATTAGTCATATT